AATTCATTTCTAAAATGCCATCAGTCCACCTTCTTGCTTTTACAGTCTGCATTTTGGCAGTTGGGAAGGCAGTACATGGAGGGAAAACAAGGAAGGGGAAAACAGCAAAGGATTTTAATCGATAATCTCAGCAACATTTTGCTGAGCAAACAAGTTGTCTTCTGTTAATCTTGTCATTTTGTTCTCTTAAGGATGAAGTCAATCAAATAGTAACCACCAATGTGCGCCTGAAACAGGTAACATAAACTTATAAAACTCTGTGTTTTATAAGCCAGCACGTTGTATTCAATGCACAAAGGTCCATTTTGATCAGCCATGTTCCCTGCTGAAGAAATGCTTTTGATTATAGTTCCCTTTTCCAAGGGGTTGAATTCCTTTGCAACATTCTTGTGGGTTATAGCTAAAGACATCAGCAATTAAAGGATTTTATAAAGTTTGTCACACCAGGGGCACTGTGCAGTTTGACAACTGGAATTTAAAAAACAAAAACTGATTTCAGCATTTTTTTCTGAATATCTATTTGTTGTGGGAAATGTTCAAACTTTAAATTAAATTAAAATTTTAAATAATATTTAAAAATTTAATTAGTGTTAATGTTATTTAATTTAATTTATATGTAAATTAAAACATACTCAATTTAGAATAAGAAATAAGAACACAATTCATATATAAGAACACAACGTATATATGTTGGGTGATAAAGAGTTATTTTACAATAAAGGTGGTATACTGTACATTCTTGAACCAGGCATAGCCATATTAATGTTTTTCTTCATTCTACAAGTTATGTTTAACGAATAAAACAATTGTTCTGTATCAGACTTATAGTAAGACTTTATAAGCTCTTTGAAATTCTCATTTTTTCCCTAGCAATGGAGAGATGTAAATTTGAAATGGAATCCGTCAGATTATGGTGGTGTGAAGCAAATTCGCATTCCGTCAGAGGATATCTGGCGTCCAGATTTTGTTTTGTATAACAAGTAAGTAGAGTTGTTGATCCACACGTTAATTCTGTGGCACAATCCCATAAAGAGAGAGCAGATGGATGCATTCAGACCACACAAACAGCTGTAAACCCAGCTTCTGAGTGAATGTGACCTCTAAAACGAAGGCACATTTAGGGGACCACTCTCCCTGATTCGTTGCATCTGGAAGTACCCTGCAAACGTTACAATAAGCTTCAACTGAAAAAGAGATGGCTGTTCCTAGTGGCAAGAAAATGGTGGAGAAGGAGAGGCAGCTCTCTTGGGATCTTCAGGCCCAGGGAGCCCTCAGGACCCACTCCTTGCCCCAGTGCGTTCAACAAATTTGACAGCAAACGGTAGGGCTACCAGAACCAGGCTGCAAAAACTTGAATGACCCCTAGGAGGGAGCAAAGTGTTGGAGATCCGTATCTCCTTGCTGTCAAGTCTGGGAGTTGTCCAGTTTTGGCAGCTGTGATATAACAGCTCACATGTGGGACCCCAGCAGGAGCTGGTGAAGCTCCCGCTGCTGCTGCTGCTGCTGCTGCTGCTGCTCCCACCTCCTTCTCCATTGCTGCTGCCTCAGCTGCAGTAGGAAGTGCTTGTAGGGGAGCCCTCAGAGGCCCTGGTGGCTTCCTCGGGGTTGTGCCGGCTGCTCCCTTCGTCTTCTCCCTCTCCTCCTCCTTCCTTCTTTTTTTGGGAAGGAAGGAGAGAGGAAAAAAGAGGGGGATTTTGGACA